ATCACAACATACACAGAAGTAACTGACCACATTTTGCCATAGCTCTCACCTTTCTAGTAGCATTTCAGATATTACACGAGGAAGATAATCTCACTAATTCTCACACAATTTTTCCATGGAGAGCATTTTCTCTCCTTTAAATAGGAGGAAATTTAGAGCCACATTACAGCCGGCCTTGTTAACATATTGACCTTGACACTTTGTTGCCTTACACTCTCAGTAGCTTCTGTGTTAAGTAGAAGCTAAAATGCCATCCTCTTGGAATGTTTACCTTTTGAACTTACATGTGAATTTGATTTGAAAGATGACAAGGTCCAAGTAGAGAACGAACATCATGATTTCACACAGAAGTCCAGTCACTTGCTAGTTTAAGTTCCCCAAACCCCACACAATCATGTAAATAGCAAAAATCTTCAATAAATTTGACTCCGGCACAGGGACACCAAATAAAATCTCTGGTAGCATTCAAGTAACGAACAAGTATACATTTAAACTTAATTGGTTGTACTACATCAGCCTGACAGTATTGGTGGGCAGTGGCCTGACACTCAGGTTTTGTCCTGCAATTTTCCATATCCTCCACACTGGCAAATTTCCAATTGAACAGATACAGTGCTGCTCTGCCTAGCCGAGCTCACTGGCTCTGCTTGGTCCACTTTTGCTCATCTCCTGCCATTCCCTTCCTGCCCTCCTCCCCATGGAGCCATGTCACCTACACAAGGTTTGTGTTCCTGTCCGAGGAAAAAACGAGGAAACAATTGGAGACGGAGTCAGAGACTCTCCCCTACAGCGCTATACCATGCTGCCATACCCTAGCTGTTTCCAGCAGGCTGACAGAGCAGCAGTGCATGTGCCCAGTCTGTAGGAGGAGAGCGGGTCATAGCAACATCGTACACCACAGCCTGCAATGAGGTCAAAGCAGCTCCAGAGGAGGATGTCAGGCAGTGAAAGACTCTCAATCCCTTAGAGACTCAGTAAACGCCCATGTAAAAGATTTAGTAGTTGTAAGATATTTGTTAGTTCAAAGATACACTAGAGATCATCCGTTAGTACAATACAGAACCACTGTGAAATCAAGGACTTAGACCTGAGTCAAATCCAAATATTTTTCCTCCTGTTAGGAAAAAATAAAAACGCCCTATCAAGATGGGTTCAAACCTGCCAGCTTTCTCTTGAAATGCTCATTCCGGTAAGAGTGGTTTACCAGCAAATACACCTTAATTTCTCTGGGCCTGACTACTCACTGTTTTGCATGCTGTGAAACTCTTCACACTGGTGCAAGATTAAGGTTAAAAAAAAAAAAAAAAAAAAAGCTGCCAAACAAGTGCCTTACGTTCCACAGGTGCAATTATTTTACAAATTAAAAGGAAGTGAAGACAAGAGTTTGCAGGTGGTGCTTGGAGATTCTTACTATGTTATTCTTTTTGAAATCAGAGATACGTTAACATTTTAAAGCACTCTGTGCTCAGTAAAACTAAGTAGGGATATTGCCAGTGCTTGGAATTTTCTTCATAGTGTCTTACCTGAGTTTTTTTTTCATTCTAGTATCTTTCTTTTTGAGTCTTTTGTATATGGTGATATTTATGATCTAATTCTCTCTTCCCATGTTACTGCCTAATTTCTGTGGTAGGTGGTTCCTAAATGCCTTTTAGCTCCTATTACAATTTTTATGCTAGAAAGCAAAGACAAGAGCACAAAGCCTTTTACTTGATCTTCCAGGCAACACTATCAATATACGTTGGTTACCTTCTTGTTTTGCTGACAGAAAGATACACACATGTATGTAGGCACATCACTGGTTTTATACAGAGGATGAATGTTTTCAGTTCCAGGAAGAACATGCAGCAGATGAACACCCAAATGAGGATGAATTTTTAAGGACCTAAGAAAGCATGCTCACAAAATGTAAGCTTTATACAAGCAGACATTTGAGAACCCCCTATTTAATGGTGTATTTGGTGTTAAAACACAGGTCTTCATTAGCACACCTCAGATAATGGCCACAAAAGGAATAGATTTAGATTTGCTTTCTTTTCCTTTAAAAGTGCCCCAAACACCCAACACAACTCAGTGACTAATGGCTCACCTTTGGGTTAACCATAAGTCTTAGTTGAACCTTTTTGTCTAACTGGGTTAATTAGGTATTATGTTTTCTTTTTCACCTAAATAATGGTTTTGTAATGTCTAGTATTTCAGCTCCTGCAGCTGCTTTCATTATGCAAGTAAAAGATCTCTCTTATACAGAGCCACCTATTTTCATCAAATATGTACAAGTTAAATTGGCTTTGAAATTTCCATTCTGCTGTGAAAACTAACCGAAATTGGCCAACAAGCTGGTAACCATTCCCCTTCCCCTGATGATGGGGAAAGAGTCGATGATAGACACGTGTGACTGCATAAACACTGTTCCTTAGGAAACAGCCTTAAAAAAAAATACCACTTTTCGGGTCACATGTTAAAGCTTTGTACAATTGGGGGTTTGAGATGTGCTAAATCTTACATGCTCTGCACAGTACTATTCACTTGAATAGAACTAATCACTCAAATTGCATAAAGCTAAGTGCTTGTTTAAATCCTCACATGACTGATGACTAATGTTCAGTATTTAAAATCCTGTACAAAGGAAGTGATTGTTTCATTTGAGCAGTCAACTTTCTAATTAATCACAGTAATTTAAATCTCTATTGTTTAAAATATCTAAGAAGCATGACCTTGCTTCATCAATAGATTCTGCTTTTGTCCTTCTGGAAAATTTTGCATACTAAATACCAAGTGTTAGAAGTAAAATATTTTCAGTCTGAAAGTGACTCAAATTCCATGTTTTATGACAGATATTACAGAAGGAAAACAGAGATAAAAGCTCAAATTGATGTGCTCCATGGATGCCCTGAACCCAAAGAGAAGTCCTTGACTTGATCTTAAACATAATGGTCTCTGATTACTTAAGTGATTATAAAGAATTGCCTGAATATGTCTCAGTGTACAATGCTGGAGTAGAACCCTATAGGGTTTAATGCTTCATCTTCTCCAGCAGTTTACCAAACTTCAGAACTAAAAAGGCTATGTAATTTGTATTGCTGCATCTTGAGGAAGTCCAAAGAGTAACTGTAAGTGTTCCAGGGAAGGCATCGTTTTCTTCTCTTTATACCAGAAGGCCAGCTGGGTTCTGCTTGTCATTGGGATACCCAAGAGATGGTATGCTTCTGGTGTTAACACTAGCTGTTTCATAAGTAACTCAAGAAAAAGCCTCTCCGCAGGCTGTGCGTCCTCTCTATCCCTCTCAAGAAATCCTTCAAGCTGCTGTAATCCATGAAAGCTCGGGCAGTGAGTGACCTGATCCCCCCGCCCCATTCTAACCTCACCCGCCTGAGCACGGGCTGTGCTTCTCCCGGGGTGCTGGACCGCTCAGCCGGAGGCGGCGCGCTGGCACTCCACCTCCTCCGGGCGGCGCCGGGCTCCCTCCCGGGGAGAGGTGGCCGCCTTCCTCCCGCGGGGCGGGGGCGGTCCCGCACGGGCAGATACAACCGCAGCAGCGTTAAGGTGACAGAAGCGGCCTTCCTAAAGGGGGACAACGCCTACCCGGCGCTTGCGGAGTCTAACGGGCCTCCTCCACGTCAAAGAAGAAAGTGAGGCAGGTCTGTGTGCGACGAAAGCAACTTTAAAGAAAAAAAAAAACCCAACAAAAACTAACCACCACCACACCCCAAAAAACCCAACCCATAAACAAAAACTACATAGCAAAACCGAGGAGGGGGGCGAAAGACAGGATGACCCTACACCACTGTGCCGAGGCGGCCTTACAGAAGGTGCCGTCGAGGCCGTTTAACCCTCCACAGCGCCCACCGAGCACGACTACTGCGCCGCGGGCCGCGCCTCTCCCCCGACGGGAAAGAGGACAGACGCAGCCCCTCCGCCGCCCCCGGAGCGCGGAGACTTCGGCCCGC